GCACAAAGAGGCAGAAAACTGATCAGTCATTCAAGCATAGAATTTAGGGGTGTTATAGCAGCACCTGAAAAGGTAAAAACTTCAATGTCAGACATACACTAGGCAACATGTTGCTAGCAACATTTGTCATTACTTCAAGTTGATTTTGTAAGCAAAATGCCAGAATGTTGCCAAAAATAGAAAGTTGGCAACATGTTGCTTACAAGATCAAAGTAACGACAGCAACGCCAACATGTTGCCTAGTACATAAACATTAGAGACTATAGTGGGTAATTTTTCATGGCTCTTTATTTTCGTGGCTGGTTTTTGTGGTATAGATTTAACAGGTGTCTGGCTAGGAAAATTACTTCAGTACCGGTGCATGTGTTGATCATCTTACGCGCGCCGTGGCATCAGATTGGATTGGGCGTAGACTATAACTAACACAACTGAAAAAATAGTGAGTAGATCTAGTCAGCATTTGAAAACTCAAGAGAACTGCTACATGAACCGGCGGTGCCACTTACCTCTGTGAACTCCAGAGGCTACATAATTTTCACCAATTTTTTCTAGACAATCTCTCAAGGCTTCAAAAGAAGGAGGAGGTTCTGTAACTTGACGAAACCATCCTGCTAGTACCTCTTCTAAATAACGATCTGCGTTCCGTTGATGATCAGCTTCAATGCTGTTCAATATACTCACACCAAGGCCAAGCGCACGGCCTAACTTCCTATAATTGCGAGCTGTGTCGAATTTATACTTTTGTAACAAGTGCAGCACTCTTTGTAAATCATCAATATCTGGTAAAATAATAAGTACAACTTGAAAGAGTACTGCAACCTACTCAGTCTTGACTTTCCTTCCATATCAACAAGTCAAATCTAACAGCCACTTCTCACCTCCAATTAGCTCGAGCTCACTGTCTTGCGTACGTACGTAGCATAGATAATAATACTACGCGGAACAGGATAGGAAACTGGATCACGTGACTGTTAGAGTACACGCCCCAAATATGAGACACTTAAGCAAAATAGTTTCTTATTCTTTCAAAGAAGATTTTTATGTAATTTCAAAACTATCATTGTAAACTCTAATCACCTTAGTTGCACTACTTTGACCAATCTTCATAGGTATAACTTCTAGTGTAGCATACTTGTGAAATTAATTTACCTACTCAAGTACTGGTATTATGAGACAAGTATTGTATTATGAGACAAGCATTTTATGACAAGTATTGTATTATAATATTCAGTACATATTACATTCTCCACAGTAATAATCACCATCTTTGAAATTATCAGTGTTAATACATTCCGAATGCCACCAACGATTGCATTCACCATCACACTCAATCCAAGTATGAGACTCATTCTGGTCCTCATAAGAACCAAAACATGATGGACACACATCACTTTCTACCTTTCTTCTCTTGCTACAAACAACTTCGCTTCTTTGTCTCTTTCGTAGTACTTGCTGACGTCGTGTCTCCTTACCCTCTGACCTTAATTCTTCTTTCCTCTTTCCTTTTTCTTTTCTTTCCGCTTTCTTCTTCTCTTGTTCAAAATCTTTTTGTCTTTGTCGTTCTTCTCTTTCTCTCTTCTTGTTCCTCTTAACTTCTGCTTTCTTTCTCTTTTCTTCTTCCCTAAGTTGCTTACGTTCTTCTTGAATCTTTTTCTTCTCTTTGGCTTTCCTTTTTCTCTCTTCTTGATTCTGTCATTTCTCTTCTTCCTTTCTTTTCTTCTCTTCTTCCTTTCTTTTCTTTTCTTCTTCCTTTCTTTTCTTTTCTTCTTCCTTTCTTTTCTTTTCTTCTTCCTTTCTTTTCTTTTCTTCTTCCTTTCTTTTCTTTTCTTCTTCCTTTCTTTTCTTTTCTTCTTCCTTTCTTTTTGTTTCTTCAGAGATTTCAGTAATAAAGGACTCATTTGTAATGCACCTAGCACCATCACTGTTGAACGATTTTAAGCTCACGTTTGAGACTGAAGGAACTTTAGGCAGGGAAAGGATATCAGAAAAATCTGAAATATTCGCTATTTCTGGTGTTTTATCACAATCTGATATTTCACTTGGTTCAGGTGAAAAAACTTTTGACGGAGCTAATAGTCGATCTGATATCACTCCTGGGTTAAGAGGAAAAATCCCACATTGCTTGAATCCTTTCATCACATTCATTGGCGTCAATGCTTTTGGCCATGCCAAAGACAGAAGAGATGCAAGATTTTCAGAACGAATTTTTATTCCGGGATTAGAGTGTAAAAAATCTCTGCACTCCTTATTAAAATGTGCTTTTAGACTTTTAAACACGCCAACATCTACAGGCTGAAGAATATGTGTCGAATGTGATGGAAGACAGAGAAGATGGATATTACTTTCTTTAGCTAGCTTAATGACATCTAGTGATACGTGAGAAGCATGACCATCTTCAATTATGAGTACAGGGCGTGCAGGTGGAATCGATTCAATAAAAAATTCAAACCATTCCAGAAATAATTGTTGATTTATCCACCCACTTTCGGAGCAACGAAACATAGTACCAGGTATGGCACCCTCCTTTAAGTCTTCCTTCATCCTTTTTCTTGGAAAAATCATTAGGGGAGGAATGCTCTGGCCAGAAGCATTAACACAAGTCAATACCGTATGTGTTTTTCCCCTTTCCGCTGAAGTAATTGACCATACTTTCTTATGCTTGATATCTGCTGCAACTTTGCCCGGTTTATGCACAACATTTATGCTTGTTTCATCAATATTGTATATTTGCATTGGTTTCGACAGTAGATTCAATCTGGCAAAAATACCGCCAAGTTTTTCAAAAAAATCTTTAATGACGTCATCAGTTACACTTTGAGCCCTCGCATGTGACAAAGGCTGAGGAGAACGGATACTTAGCTTATGACGACTTAAGAAATCCTGCAGCCATGATTTTCCAGCGGCACCATTTGCGAATGGGTGTGGCTTCTTTGTCTTTTCAACTATCTGAAATGCAACTCTCATAATGTCATCTCTAGACAAACCATAACCCATATCGGCCATCTTAACTATGTACTCACATCTTCTGCATCTGTCATAACTGTCTTAGGTCCAGGTCTACAATTAGTCTCGCCCCGCCCCTTCGCTTACCGCAGGTAAGCGAAGGGGCGGGGCGAGACTAGTCTACAATCTACAGCAACAGCTCCAACATGTCCAATGACTCTCCTCCTCAAAGTCTCTACAAGTACCCCATATGAAGATGAAGCCTCTCTAAGTTTCATTCCTTCTTTAACTGCTTTTACTGCTTCAGTCATACTTGTCTGCGACCAATTCTTACGTTTCTGGGTACACGTTGCTCCTCGCGTTGCTTTAGACCTTGCTTGCTTGGCCATCTTGAATGGGAGGTGTTAAGCTGTTTATGTAAATTAATACTACAGCAAGTTAATTAGGTATTTCGCGGACTATTTTTAATTGTTTTTATTTCCAGCAATTTAAAGTCACTCTATAAACAGCTTATTTCATTTTCTCATCCTAATTTATAGTCTCCACTTGATTTTTGTTTGTGTCTCATAATACCCTACTGTCTCATAATACCAGGACGTACTCTATATCCTGTAGTTAAAATGTTGCAAATTTGAAAGAGAAGGTACCTGGTTTTGTGGGACTGTAACTTACTGTGCACCAGAAGGAATCCAGAGGCAGTAATTAGTCTCACTATGTAGCCAAGGTTCTTTACCATGTTAAAAAATTCTATTTCTGGCAACATGTTGCTTACAAGATCAAAGTAACCACAAATGTTGCCAGCAACATGTTGCCTAGTGTATGCCTGGCTTTACATGTCACATCTATGTTGCTGATCATGGCAATCACAGAATTTAATCCAGACTTGACTTCATTTCTTGTGTTTAGCAGCAAAGGATCTGGTGAGGGCCAGTTTGACGAACCTTGGGGCTTAGCTATTGACAGTGATGCATGAGTTTCTTTACGTCGTCGACTCTAAAAATCACCGCATTCAAAAGTTTACGTCCAAAGGAGAATTTGTGATGGAGTTTGGCAAAACTGGAGAAGGGACTTTATCGTCTCCTGCTGGTATAACTATCAGCCACAAGAATCAGTTATATGTCACAAAGAAGGGAACTCATTCTGTTGCTGTGTTTGATACCGAGGGTCACTTTATCAATCGATTTGGTCATCATGTCAGTAATCCTGATTATTGTCTTAAATGTCCCGAGGGGATTGACTTTGACTGCAATGGACTCTTATACATTTGTGACTATTTTAATAAAAGAATAGTAGTATATTAGTTGTTATTTTTGCAAATCATGTTTGTGGTTTCAATAAGTATTTGTTGTATAAACGGTCAAACAAGCAATTGAATTTTAATTCCTGTGTTATTGATAAGATAATTTTGTTGTACTAACATTTACATGACTACTGGTTTTAAAGGGATACTCCCCACTATAAAATACTTATAGTAAGGTTCAATACCACTACTATTTACTCAAAAAACCGATACCAAATATTTGAACTTAAGAAAAATAATAGTATAAGCATTTACAAAGATACACACATGCAGCATTACAAAATCTAATAGTAGCTATATATATTAATAAAAATAGAAACAACAAAAGTTGCTTATACTAATAAAATAGAAAAGGCAAACTTTCAGTTAATAAAAACTTAGTCTGTCTTTGATGGGGCCATTAGCTTCAGCGAATCTGTAAGCAGTGTCTTGATGAGACTGGTCTAGGGTGAGCAGTCGAAGAGTGCTGTTGTCCTTTGCAAGAGCAAGTAGTATTTTTACTACCCCAGCTTCATCAAGCCTTAGGCCAAGAGCAGAGAAGTACTGTAAAATTGAGTTCCTCCGAACAACATTTGAAATAGCTTCTGCATAAGAAGCAGCACTTGTGGAGGAGAGAGGTAGTATCATTTGGCTGCTGAATTGAATTTTAAATTCTTCTAATGACTCATTAGTCAATAAGACATTGAGGATATAGCTCAAGCTGGTAGAAGGAAGAGCAACATCTGTAAGATGAAGAGCCTTAAGCCTCTGCAGCAATTGAATGATAGAATGAACACTGTCATGAGATAAAGGTGTCCTGTTGATGTGGAGATACGTTATTGATTCTGGCAGTTGTAACAAAATGGCAGAAGTGGAATCAACAAAAGCATCATGCAATGAGAGGATAGCTTGTTGAATTTGAATTTCCTTGCATGTTTTAAGAGAAGGGGCTGTTAGACTAATCTCTGAATCCGACTCAGAAATGCTTTCTACAAGTATGTATGAAGCAAAACAACTTTGTGAATGGCATACAAAAGTACAAACCTGTATGGGGATCATATTTTTGCTGTTGTGACATTGGTGGTGTGTGTTGGCTTGTGGTTTCCTCTTTGATAGTGGCTTCCTTGTGTATAGGATTATTTGAATCTAAAAAGTACAATAATCACATCAATAGTATACATATATAATATGGCTAACATACCACTAGTTGTAATATTCCTTCTTTTTTCTACACTTAACATTTCTCGGAGAATTCCAGCCTCCACTTCAGTTTTAGCTAACTGCTGCAATGTAGTCTCACTCAATGCTGTAATTTCATATAATTTCTAAAACATGAATTTATTATATCTACCCGTTTTTTGCTGTAGAGCTTTGACCAAAGCCTTGTTTTGATTTTCCAAACCTAATTATAATTTTAAAATATTCAAACAGTTAATTCAATAGCCATACTGTTATATTCTTTTTGGTTGTATGCTTTATTCTGTTCCAGCTGACAACTCAATAATGAAATTTTTTCTTGAAAAATTTCAATTTCTTTTTGTTCTTCACTCGTCTTTTCTTCCAGGTCCCCTGTAACAAAGATAATTTTTAGGCAATTCACACAAAACTTTACTTGTTCCATGAATAATAGATTGTAAGTATTCATTCTCTTGTATTGTCATTCTTAGTATTTTGTCTTTCATTTGCAATTTTTCTTTTAAACAAGATTCTTAAAATTGATAGGAAAATCATTATCTTTTCTCAAAAAATATTAAATTTTATCACCATTGTTTTGAAATTCCTTGATACGTCCTATGATGATAACAGAAACGCCATTATATTTACAGTACATAATAAATATAATAAAATGCACCTTTCTTCTCCTGAAGTTCCTCTTCTAGTGATGTGACTTTTCTTTTAAATTTTCATTATCTATACACAATGACTGACAGTCATGCATTATGCATCAACACATACCTTCTTCAAGATCTATAATAAAATGACAAAATGTCATTTTAGTCGTTGCATAATTTTTGACTGACCAGCAATTTTTGTTTGAAGCTCCTTAATACTTTTAAATAATGTCTTGTTTGTTTTTTCCAGTTCCGAGTTTCTTTCTTCTAATGCATCTATTCTCTCCATTAATGTTTGGATTGTCTGTATAAGATAACAAATATGTAGTATTTTAAAGTAGGTGAATGTTTACCTCGTCATAAAGGAATTCATCATATACTGAAAGGTACCCAACAGTGATTGTTTTTATTTGCTTCATTCTACAAAAAGAAAACTTTTTTAATATTCTATCAATCACTATTGTGGCATAAACAGGAGGAAAATAACAAACTATGCCTTCTTCATCAATGCTATGCCATCTTACTACATCTTCAAAAAGGTTACCAAATATATTTGAGAGCATATTCTCTGTTGCAGCAAATGACTTGTCAGGATCATACGTCATGGCTATAGAAAGCGTTTCCACTGTTGTAAGGCAACATGGTTCTTCAAAAGGAATGCTACAGAGTGCTTGTTTTCTAAGGTCATTTTTTAACTGCCCAATATTCTTCATTGCTATTCTACTCTTAACTTCAGATGCAATTTCTTCAAGTAGACTAGTACTCAATATTGTGGTTTCTCTTTCTACTATTGCCATGCAATCATAAACAGATGATATTTTAATGCAATAGCGGCGACATTTAAGAACTGATATCAGCTTTGAGAGGTATGCTCCTGAGCTTTTTACTCTTTTTTCTATATCTTTGATGCTACTTCCAATAACTGTTCGTAAAACAAAAGAATTAAATATGTAAAACAACTCATAAACTGTCTACCTTCACAACAAAACTGGTCAAAATTAGCTTCAGATTGTTTAAAAGCAGCAGCTAAATAATTATAAATATTTATTTCAAAAAATTTACATAACTTACTGCAATCTTTTTCAATGTCATTACCAAGATCTTCATTTCCGGTATGCTTACATATCCTAGCAAATATCAGAAGTATGCTATGATCTTGGCTGATGGAAAGCTCAATTTCAGCCAAGAGCACATAAAGACGGGTTTCATATGCTATCTGCTTTTTTGTTATTTTGTCGAGATTATCATCATTCAATATTTCCTCCTCATTCAGCAATCTAGCAATATCTTCAAGTTCATTAAGGTACTTAAGTTGCTCTTCACGTAATTTGAAAATATTAACAGCATGTTCCTCATTAGTGGCATCAGGATCCCATGTACTATCGTACGTGCATGTACCACAAGTTTCTATCATGAGATTGAATTATAATTACAATAATACACAACAATATTTACAGATATTAATTTATACATAAATGTTATTTAAATTATAGAGCATTATAGTGGTAAACATGTTGTGTTTATGTGTCTACAGTATCAACTACACAAAACTAAACAAACTTTCGCGATAAATTGCATAACACTTTCACTGTTTTCATTTAATCTAATGAAAAGTTGGCGATAAACTTTACTTTAAAACTATGTGCCCAAACAGTGCACAGTCGACCAGGTGTCAATGCATGCATATATTGTCATATTATATGTATAATGTTGTATCACCCCAGTGAGGGATATATGACGTTTATAATCACTAAGCCCAAGGGCCGTGGCCCGATGACTTAGTGATTATACATTGTAAATGTGACATATCCCTCACTGGTTAATTTATTTCCTGCCTGTGGCTAAAAAACTTTTCTACTGCGCATGAGCAATGACTTTAAAACATGGTGACACAGGTGAAAGAAAGCCACAAGACTATACTAAAAGAAGGGAGAGATCAGCCAGATGGCAGAAAACGTTGATTTAAATTCCGCTCTTACTCCAAAGAAAAGATTGTCTTTGTCATTGAAAAAAAAAGGACCAGCAAACGTTTTGGGGGACTGTTCCAAATCAAAGTGTTAGGCTGTTAGCTATAATAACTGTGCATTAAATATGTATCAGACTGGGCCACTTCCAATGATGGGTTATCCACCTTTTTGGTCCATTTCCAGCACATCTAATGCCCACTTGGCCTCAAGTTCCCCCTTATGATCCCAATTTTCCACCTCAAGTTCCACTATATGAACAATGGAAAGATGGTGACTCTAAGTAACTGCAAACTGTCATTCAAACAATGGATGCAATTTAACTATAATTCTTCTTGTCTTAATCAATCTTTATTTAATCAGTTCATTTCTTCAACCACTACCAGGGCACAAACATCAAAGCAATTTATACATGTATTTTACCGTATAGCGTAAAATTTACTCCATTGAAGTTAGCAGCACATTTTGCAGCATCACATTCTTCTAAAACCACAAAAATGTGCTGCTGCACAAGTGCAAACCACAGGAATGTACTGCTGCAAAATACTAATTAATACCCGTATCTAGTAATAGCTTGAGTAATAGCGGGCATACTATATCAATTTCATTGACCTCCGCTTAAACCATGACTAAAATAACCATGTTGTCTTGCCTATAGTATGGTGTTTGTTTATATCTATCTTTTATGCACTAATTTTTTTAAATTTAACAATTAATTTTACTATGATTACAGTTTTTACTTTAAATACATAATATAATACATTATTAATTCAAAAATTATTATTATATTGGCAATTTTTCATTTTTAAGCTGCTGCAGAACCATTTCAACTGCATTATCATATGTGACCATAATTGACAAAAGGTACCTTATGGCAGGTAGTGAAATTTGTCTTTCTAGCCTAAGAAATCCAACTTCCTGAGCCCCAGTTATCATAAAATTACTCCACAGGATGCAAAAAGTTACCATGAAACTTTTAGAAACAATGATTGTCTAACAAAGCACTCACAGGTTGATATTTTCCATTATAACTATCAATTTTAAAATCCGCCATAAGGGCCCTTTTGTCAATTATGGTCACATATGTTAAATTAGCCTTAGCCATTGTTAGCAATGTGAGAACCTATAAGAAAGCAATAAAGCAATTAACAATGATACATGTCTATATCTGTGGTGTACCTCTGGCCACAGAAAGTTTCTTACAACTAAGCTCATTATTGCAATCTCCTTTTCCTTCTTTGTTTCCATTTCCAGCCCCATGAGGAAATGGAAAATTTCATCAACCTTCAGAGAAAATGAGTTTCCAATTCACTGTTGCATGTATATATTTACCATATCAAATTGTTCTATTGGCCACACCATCCTTTCCCACTTTGCATTTACATTTTGATATATGCTGGCAATCTCTCCTTTACACAGTTGCTTTAATTTCAGCTGTGAAGCATTCAATGATAATTTCAAACAGTTCACATTATTATGATAAATGCTTACCTCATGTTTTTTAATGTGTTCTCTGATAAATTTTCTACTGAGTGAAGTGTTTCTGTTGCATTATTATTAGATGGATGTTATATGAAAGAAACTTACTCATCTGATAAAACTTCCCTATTGATGTAAGGATACCATTGTATAAAATAACTCTCTCTAGCTGCATCATTGAAAGTGGGCATTAGAAGTCCATCCTCTTTTGGATTAATGTCATGTATATTTATGACTATTTTCTTTGAAGTTATCAATAATAGCCACTGCAAAAATTACCAGAGCCTTCTTCTTTTTCTGTTATTTGTTTCATAATCTCTTCTACTTTACCAAAAAAATTGCTGTCATGAATTTCTGCAACTGATGATCTATAAGCAAATGGGAATTACATTATTATAGTAAAGTCTAATTACATCTTTTCCAATATCCACATATTGTAATTTTTAACCTGCAAAAAGTTAATATAGACAATAATGAGCTTATGCAAGTATAGACTAGATCTATATACCTCAATTTCAAAACTCAAAGAATTTGTAGTTACTTCATGATACAATCCTAATAGTCTTCCAGTGTACTAATGTACAGAAGGACAGCATATAAAGTTATATCCTAGTGTGCATTATACCTGACAAAGTGAATAGTTTTTTATTCTATCAATATAATTTATCTCATCATAACCATATTCCTTTAGAAGCATTTTAATATAAATTTTTTTATATAATATCATTATACCTTTATTTCTTTCACAGTCCAACAACTTAATCTTACTTGCTTATGGCTTTCCTTATTGCAGAACCAAGTTGCTAAAGCTTTTCTGATAATTTCATAAATCTTATATTATTATTATGATAAATCATCACAATATACCTGAATGCACTTGTTAGAGCTATTATCTTACTATTGTCTGTCCTTTCAATTACATCATATACAGTAATTTCTTTTTCAGATAGCTTTGCAAACTGTTATGTTGTAAGTTAAATGTTTTTTAATCAGTTCCTTACCAAAAGAACTCCTTCCCAAAAAGCTGGACATAAGACTAATCTAATGCCTTTATAAGAATTCTATGTTATGTACATAATAAGAATAATAGCAATAATAATTCCTCACTGTAATATCATTGCAGGGATTATATTTATCATTGTATTTGTGTCTCATATATAATTCCAGATCAGCACTGGATACAATCTCTGCATACCCATCCACATTCTACATGAAATAAATGCATAACATAGAATAGAAAGCATTAAGTTCTCACTGTGTTAAAATTGTCATAATTATCATTTCTGATTTTGGCCATTGCCTTAATGTAGAACAATGCTGCCTGCAGACATATTTTAAGTGCCATTAAAAATTAATTTTAAAATGATTACCTTTGTAGATAATGTAGCTCTACTTAACTCAATTATATCATTGCAAGTCAAAAAATATGTGTTTTGATCTAGTGACATTGCAATTTTGCTACCAGAATTAACACTGTTTTCTTTGGGTGTAGTCATACCTGTTATAGTAGTTATTATTATATAGAAATTAAAGTATACCTGTTTTGGCAGGTTGTTCCTTATGTTTCACCTTAGACTTAAGTGACTTAAAGTCTACTTGAGGAAGTTCATCTTCATCACTACTAAAGCTATGACTGTTTGCCTTTTTTTCTTCATTTTCTACTAAATCAATTTTTTTAGTTTTAGAACCTATTTTGTAAGGCTCAGTCAAAGCATTATAAAGATAGTTTCGTCCTGCTGGGATTTCAGTCTAAAAAGTAAAGTATGTGACTCATCAAATTTATGACTTTATAAATGCACATACATAGTCAAATTTGAATGTGGATTTTTCTATAAAAAGTTTTGCTGCCTATGATGTTTCTTAAGTTATTGTTAAAGTATGACTATAGTTATACCATGCAGACCATGACACCACAATTATCTGAGTTTTGTTGTTGAGGAAAACCACACATCTATCAAATGTTATTACATGGTTTGCAGTTTTGTTGTAGACTGCCTTACCTTTCCATCACAGTATGACCATTTAGTCTTTTCAGGAAGTGTAGCACTTTCCTCTTTTGCTTCCATGCATATATAATACCTATAAACGAATATATATTTTCAATTATGTAATTTATAATTTCTCTCACCATATCAAGTTAATCACTTTGTAATTTTCTCTGTGTAGGGAGTCAAAGTAATAAATAATCTGTTCTGCCATATCTACAATCTAAGTATTGTGTAATATATAAAATGCCCAACATCACTTACTACCAATGACCAATGGCAGTCGCTGTGGACTGGTATCATGACAGCCTCTTTTTGTAGTAAATGAATTCTCTATGTGTATCATTACAATTTTACTTTTTCATATTAACAAACTTGTCTGCACTTGACACCTTTAAATCCTTGGGCTATTAATTTAGGTAAAAATGTTGCATCCTTGCAGGCAATGTTTATGCTCTTCTATTAATTGATTGAACAAAATATCACATGTGTCATACATGGTGATCACACCAACCTTTTCTGCCTCTAATTTCAAAAGCTGCAAATAGTCCGAAATAGCCTATCAAATTCCTAACTCTGACATGAAAAATAAATTATCTACCTCTGTAGTCAACCACTGGCCATTCAACACTCTCTGGTAATGCTGATACTTGCAATCAGGAATAATATGCTCATTGTACTATATTTTGGAATTATTTATAAAATACCAATCACAATTGAAGGTGCATGAATGTTACATCATTTTAGACTGATTGGATGGAGTCTATAAACATACCATCTGTTCTTCATTATTTTCCATGAAAGAGTGTGTCTGAAGTAAAGAAATGATTATAATGCCGGAATATTCTTTTTAATTCTAATCATATTTTACAAAAAGGATACCTTTTCCCATTTATTTGGAATACAATCCGACTCTTGCATATGGTTTATAAGAACCTATAATTTATTATACAGGTTCATAGACTGTGGTATCTAAATGATTGACCTGTGAATGATGTTCCATGCAGTAAACTCCCAGGACTGAATTCTTCTATTTATAAATTGAAGCAAATCATGTACATGATTGATCATACCTGATTGAACCGACTGTTTACATTTGCTTTTGTCACTCTTGTGACATTCATATCATCATAGACAATCCAGCCATCATTATCACGTACATTTACCTTAACTATATTGGCCCATATCATAGAACATACAGCCTATTAAAGTTTCTTACAATGTCCTTCTTTGACTGAGTTTCCAGTGTGAACCTATAAAGGCATGCATCATGTTAAATTTATGATAATAGCTAAAACTCACTGCCAATGCTTGTAGCTTGTATGTTCCAGCAATGGCTTTACCCTCAAGTGACGGAGTGTCACAAATTAGAATAGGCTTTTGCAATTTAGAATTGCTGTCAGGTTTAGTTCTGTTAATGGCAACAAATAAATTATTGGGGAGATTTATAATGTCGGATAACACTGTGAAAGGTGTCCTGTCACCATCAGCAGATTTACAATTGCAAAGCCTACACAATGTGATGTATCAATTGTAATAAGCTTGTATCAAAATACTTTGCTCTTGTACAAGTTTGAAGTAGCTCCTCCAACCTTAATGAAAGTATGTCCTGAACAGAGCTACTTTCATTTCTTTCAATAGAACAATTGATAACATCAATTTCATCAATTTCTGTCACTTGCTAAAAATGACAATAATTATATGAAAATATGCAAGACCAAAAAAAAATTATTACTTTCTTGCAATTACTACACGTCTTTTTTCTCTCAATGATAATATTTGTCAAGTGAATTGCCTGCAGTAGCTGTTTACATAATTTAAATCAATTATATTTAGCTTTTCTTTTTACTAACATTAGAGGGTAGGTCTCGAAGGAGCCAACTAATACTTTCAACAATGTCATTATCTTTGAAAGTGTCTGCCTTATTTCCAGCACCCATTTCAATCTAAATTCAATTCCTTGTAATAATTATTCAACATTTTCTATTTTTTTCACTCACAGCTATTTCTGTCACATCTCCAATTTGTCCTCGTGCAAGCTGGTCATGCACAGATAAGTATGCTTTTTGTATTGCATTTAATTGATAGCTTGGGATGCCTTAATCAAAAATGAGTATATTGATTAATTTAATACAACTAACCTTGCATGAGAAGGGGCACCATGGTCACCTCGAGTATCTGAATAGCTGATGCCAACCAGCACACTCTGATTGCTTGGTTGTTTCTGATGCAACTATTTGGTGTTCTGCGGAGTGACAATGGAGCTCTGGCAAAACCAGTCTATATACAACACATACAATAAGAAATATTCAACCACATCACTAACAATTTGTTTTTTCTTGTTTTGTGGGCTTTTTGCTTTGTAGCTATGGCTGAATTAAATAAAATTAAAAGTTGATTTCAAATGAAGTTAATGCTTACGCATCAGTCTCAGTAAGATCAATTACAGCATCAATAGGTTGCATCATCCTTGGGTACAAAAAACAAAGTTTATATATAGCAGACATTAATAACACTACTTTCCTTGCAGATATAGTACAAATTATGCATGCACTAAAATGCATATTAGAGTGTGTACAAGTAAATATGCAATGTACATACCTGTCTGGTTCGTTCATATCTTGCAAAGGAATTCTGAAAAATTATAAAAGTACCATACAATAGAATAAAATGAAAAACAAACTTATTATTATTGTCAATCAACTTAGGCTGATACTCCAGAGCCCTTTTACAGGAAATAATTTTATTTGAACAAGTGTACAATTTCACTTACATAAAAGAAAATTTTCTTTCTGGTGGCTTCTGAAAGTGGCCGCAAATTTTTTCATTGTTACCTTTCTTCCTTTTTTTCCCCCATTTCTCTGTTAGAGGTTTTATTTTCCTTAACTGAACCTTGTCATATTAGAACACAACAGTGTATATGGATATAACTAATTAAAAGCATATTCTCACCTCCATAAGATTTTTCTTCTTGTGAGAAATGGTGTCTATGAAGGAAAGTTGTCTTCCAAGCAATAATTCCCAATGACTTTTAATAAAAACATCCGGTCTAAGCCTATGCTGTGGGTGATCTTGTTGCTTCAATATAAAATTCCAAGCCTCCACTGTACCAGATGTTCTGTTTTTCCCTTCTTCTGATGATGAAAAAATTAGATGCATAATAAATTTTTCTAACCTCTTAAAATGCAAGTCCAAAAAGGTACCATGTGTAGCCACTTTGATTCCATCATTTCTAGCCATTTTGGCTGATAAAGCTTATTGGGAATGCCACTTTCAAAAGTATTATCGGGAATGTTCATTAGTTTTTTCTTAAAATATGCTAGAAATGGTTTCTTACATTGTGACAGAATTTGTTCTTCTTCTGAATAATCAATAACTGTATCATCTTCCAATCCCGCAATGCTACATTCATCTGAATTGTTGTCTCCAGTTGACTGCAGGTCTGTATTAGCTTCCTTTATGCCAAGTCTATTCAAAGCTTCTTGCAGAAAAATAATAGACTTATTAAAAGAATCACTCTGAGTTTTAGAAGTAAATACAACTGTGCAATGTTGAATGGCAAATTCAAATTCCTTCAAAGAATAACAATTCATCAGCAATGAAAAGCAATACATGGCAAATTGGTAGCAATCCTTTTTACTACTACATAAATATAGGTAAGAGAAATTACAGAATAAATTACATTTTATGCAAACAAATAAGTCAACTTACAATAACTTTTGCATTTCAGATTTAGCAGAATGCATGACATGGCTAATGCAGGCAACCACAGTTGTTTTCTTGTCATCTTCCTCTGATTGAGATTTAGTGGCAATACGAAAACACCTGTGCAGGTAGTCACTGAGTGTCTCCATGTTAAAGACTTTCAGTATACTGAGTAGCAGAACAAGGCTGCGATCAATGACTAGGCACTTTGGCTGTATTACCCCAGAATAACCATATAATTTTCCCTCATATCTTCTGAAGTCAGTCAAAAAGTGGGATATGGCCATGACTGTGTGCTCTGTGGTAATTAATTCTGCCACAGCAACTGGTGGACAAGAGTTTAATTGATGACTCATGACTAGTGAATAATAGAGGCATGTGCAACCCTCATAATCAGTTCCACTTAAACTTACTATGGTGCCTGTAGCATCTAAATAAAGCGTCTGCTCTGGTGCAATAGTGTGGTATATGTGTAGCCCTTCCTCAGAGAAAAAAGATACATTAAAAGGTTTTGCTGTTACCCTGCGAATGAAGCCATTATTGCATCGTTTGTCATTGCTGAGTTCTTTATCAAGCATCATCAATGAAGTAATCAAGTCAAAATGTGGCTGCTCCTCTTTATTAGCTTCTGATGATATTTTTTGAAATACATATGGCGAACTGCCAACTTTGTCTCTTTTACCAGATTGTAGCTCATTCAAACTTAACCCACTAAAATTACGATGATAATGTGTTGATGGCTTAGTATGTTTCAGTTCACGTTTTAAGACCCCTCTCTTGATTCCTTTAATGTGACGTGACTTTCTTTCATCCATCACATGTTTCACATATGCATGGCTGAATGATATCTGAACTGTAAGACATCTTGGTGGGCATTTGATATCAAAAGCAATGATTTTGACAGTGAAGGAAATGGGACAAGTGGAAAAAGTGCATCTTCCAAAGCATCTGAAACAGTATTGGGATTTTTTTTCCCGTTTGTGGCTTTCTTTGATCCAATGATTTTTCATTGCAAATGAACAATATGGATTGTGCTTTTCAAGTAACAAAACGATGGGACTATGCCAGTCATGACTTTTAAGCCTTGACCATTGCTCAATTTGCAATGTATCAGTCGGCGTTTGAACAATTAAAGAAATAAAAAATTGGGAATCACCTTGGTCATTTTTATTTGATAGTGCCTAAGCATCTTTTTCAAGTAATGTGATGGACAGAAAAACACTGTACCTTCTCAGTCCATGGCGATTGAATATTTATGGAATCGTGCTCTTCTTCTGTACCGTTGACAATGTTAGCAGATGATAGAAAAAGCCTTCTTTGTGAATCATCTGGTATATATTAATAAACTACAACAAGGAGTTAAGTAATGCAAACCTTCTTCATAAATTCTTTCCTCAACTTCTAACACAGTGCAGTTTTGGCACTTATAACATTCCATGTTTGTTATTACTTGTTCACTCAAATCAATACAACCATAGTGGAACCATTTGGAGCAGTAGTCACACATAATCATGTTGCTGTAAATAGTATATATAATTCTTCTAAATAGTGACCTCAGTATACATAGATCTACCTCACATCCTTGCCTTTCTTTTGACATTGATCTATGCAATGGACTTCTTCATATGGTGAGTAGGCTATAATGTGAGACTGAAAGAATAGTGATGTTATAGCATTATTAGTATTAATTAATTTTGATTGTAATACAGAAGGTTGTAAACATCTTTTGCAAGGAAAAGAAAAAGCGGGAAAAATTTAAGAGGGCGGAGTTTTATCATAATAAATTAATAAACCATTAGATTGACCACACCCATAAAAAATTAAAAATGGCGGAAAAAGCTAATCCATCAAAAATGCCCTGGCTGGAGTTGGGCTATCTTCTCACTCATAAGTTTATTTCTTCTACTGAGGTATTATAATCATAATTATCATGTGTCAATTTTCTATTACATTGAAGTTAATCAACTTCCTTTTTTTGGACCTTTCACTTTCATTTAATATATTAAAGTACACTGCTACCAATTACTTATGGGAGCTTTTACTGGGTTATTTTGGTTGTGTTAACTGGTGTGTTTCCTCTGTTCAGACCCCGGCCATGAGGACGGGGTCTGAATATGCTTGCAGGCTAAGAGCTAGATTTATTTTATTTATTTTAATGTTATCTAAACAATGTCAATTGATGGTGCATGTTCGCCCCTTCAATTTTGACATTCACATATGCAATAACTACATATAGCTGCAATAAAAGATTGAAAATTTGACAAGTATTTATTATGCATTGTAGTCATGAGCTTACCTTATCTTCTTCTTGTTCCATGATGGTGTGTACGACTGAGACACTCTCTTGATCCTAATGCATATAAGGACGAAAGCGGTTTTAAAGAAACAAATCCTCTTATTTATGGAGAAGTGCAACAGGTAGAGACACAAAATATCGACTAATGTATGTATCTTAATGTAGGGAACGACATTTCGGATACGATGAGGGTGGGTGGAGTCCACACGCCCATAAATATGGACGAAAGCGGTTTTAAAGGAACAAATCCTCTTATTTATGGAGAAGTGCAACAGGTACAGACATTTAATATCGACTAATGTATGTATCTTAATGTAGGGAACGACATTTCGGATACGATGAAGGTGGGTGGAGTCCACACGCCCATAAATAAGGACGAAAGCGGTTTTAAAATGACAAATCCTCTTATTTATGGAGAAGTGCAACAGGTACAGACATTTAATATCGACTAATGTATGTATCTTAATGTAGGGAATGACATTTCGGATACGATGAAGGTGGGTGGAGTCCACACGCCCATAAATAAGGACGAAAGCGGTTTTAAAATGACAAATCCTCTTATTTATGGAGAAGTGCAACAGGTAGAGACACAAAATATCGACTAATGTATGTATCTTAATGTAGGGAACGACATTTCGGATGCGATGAAGGTGGGTGGAGTCCACACGCCCATAAATAAGGACGAAAGCAGTTTTAAAGAAACAAATCCTCTTATTTATGGAGAAGTGCAACAGTTAGAGACACAAAATATCGACTAATGTATGTATCTTAATGTAGTGAACGACATTTCGGATACGATGAAGGTGGGTGGAATCCACACGCCCATAAATAAGGACGAAAGCAGTTTTAAAGAAACAAATCCTCTTATTTATGGAGAAATGCAACAGGTACAGACATTTAATATCGACTAATGTATGTATCTTAATGTAGTGAACGACATTTCGGATACGATGAAGGTGGGTGGAGTCCACACGCCCATAAATAAGGACGAAAGCGGTTTTAAAATGACAAATCCTCTTATTTATGAAGAAGTGCAACAGGTAGAGACACAAAATATCGACTAATGTATGTATCTTAATGTAGGAAACGACATTTCGGATACGGTGAGGGTGGGTGAAGCCCACACGCCCATAAATAAGGACGAAAGCGGTTTTAAAGGAACAAATCCTCTTATTTATGGA